GTTCCGAACAAAGGCGAACTCAGGCTTCGTCTCGTAAATGTTGGTCGCCGTGTTGGATGCGGGACTCGGATCGACGGTGTTGGGAGCGTCAGCCGCCGCAGACTGTCGCCAATCCTCGTTCTGACGTGACGGCTCAGCATTCACTGGCGGCGCAGTTGTCCCACCAGATTTTGTGTCATCCTTCCCTTCACGGGGCGGCGGCAACTGACGGATACCTGTCCGGTCAGCATCGCCGCTCCGTGCAGGCGGATGGATGGTTCCATCGGGAAAAATTGACGCCACCACAATTCATAAGGGCCGGCGCATTTATGTGTCGTCACATTCATCGTGAAGGCAACGGTGGCCCCTTCCTATTCCATTGCACAGCCGGCAGCACAGTTGCGACATGTGTGCACCGCACTGGCCACATGGCACACAGCACCCAGCTCACCATTCCTGCCATGCATGCGCACACCAAAGCCACTGAAAGTGTAATTCTCATACTGAGCCTCAGCACTGGCTGCGAAACACTTCTTCCACGCCCACACACATCCACACGCGATAGCTCAGGCTGCCGTCACTCGGAGCACACGACACATCCACCGGCACTACCACCGCATCCGCATCATCAGATACATGTCCAGCACTCCCAGCAGCCGTCACGCACACAGAATTGCAGCAATACAAGGGCGCAAGGACCAACACGGCGCACACCACACGAAGCCGCACCGTCACCATCGTCATCATCGCAGTTACCATCACCCGTAGAGGAGTTGCTGGACTCAGTGAACCGATACGTGAGCCAGAAGGAAAAGGAATGGAACAGGAGGGAGAGGGACGGAACGCAGCGGATACAGCGAGAGGGCAGCAGGCCCAGCCGCACAGTTCACACACCACGAGACGGCATCCACGCAAGGAAGGCACACAACGTCAGCAGCCACCCACCATGCAGGAGGAGAAGACATCCACCACCATTTCCCCCAGCTCATCGCTACAGCCCCAGGGAAATGGCCAAAACACCGCGGCCACCACACAACGCACACGGAGCAAGCACCCACCACACCAGCCACAAGCGGTGCATCACACCCGCAGGAAAAGTGACTCAGGGTGCGCACTCCCTCTCCTCCCCTCTCCTCATGGCCACGGAAGAGGACAACAGCCGCCACACGCAACTGCCAGCATGCACTACAAAAGGAGCATTCAAATCCACTGCAACGTGCATCTTGTGTGTGCCTGCAGAAACACAAAGCAAAGAAGTAGAAAAGAGGGAGCAGAGTGTGTGGAGGGACGTACAAAATAAAATTGTGCAGCAGAGGTGCGTGGCAGAAACAAGAAGAAGACCGCTCAAACTCATGACTGCACTGCAGCCCAAGAAGCGGCAATCCACACAAGATTTATTTTTAAAACAAAAAAAAAACGTTCCCCTTCGTCTTATACAAACCCCATCACACAAAATAATTATAAATAAAAAGAAATCGTCCATTACTGTTCCACACAAATTTTAAAATAAGAAAAAAATCGCCTGGCTGCCGTGTGGCCACACCAAGCTGTCCGTATATATTTTGCCCGGAGAAGAAAATTAAAAAGATGGTTGCGTGTGCTTCAACCGTCCGACCCTCCATGTGTCCGCACATCGTTTGTATTTCATGGGGTCATCTGCGTGTTGCTGCTCCCCTCAGCCCTCTCATCGGCGTGTGAGTGCGGCCCGCAGAGCACAGTCACTCGTGTGTGTGGGGACTGAGAGAAGCACGCAGAAACGACGGGAGTCGCGTCACTCCGTCGGGAGAGTGAGCGCAGCAAAATAAAAAAAAATCATCAGGAGGGAGAGAAATGCTGACGGGACTGCCAGCGCGTGAAATGAACACGAAAAGCAAAAAACACGGCGGCAGGGTGTGGCTGTGTGTGTGGCGCTGCGGGTGTCTGCCAGCCCTGGCCGCAAGAAAACAAAGCAAGAGGGAAAGAAATGTGTGCTCCGTCCCACAGGCCCTCGTCGCACGCCCACACGTCACCCCTCCCTCAGCGCGCCGTTCGTCGCGGCACCTCCTCATGCGTGCAGCAGGCGAGGCGCACAGGGCCGTCGTCATGAGCGTGTCGGTGGGTGTGCGAGTGGAGCAGTTGGGCGGAAACACACGGCACCCCTCACAGGAGGAGTGCGGAAGAAACAATTAAAGAGGGAAGAGTAGAAAAGAAAACGCGTCCACTCTCATTGCCCCCAAAAGCAAAAAAGCAAAGAAGGATTGAGAATGGCGAGATTAAAAAATAAATAAAACAAAACATTTTAATGAAAACAAAAAAAAAGAATTTAAAAAAACTCACGGTGCTCCGCCCATGCAGCCATGCAGGACGGCAGCGGTGCATGTGGTGCAAAAGAGAGCACCAACGGGCCTGCATGGGTGTGCATGCATATATACAATGGGCACATTATTGTGTGTGCCTCGTGGAGTGAGGTGAGGGCGAGAGTCCATGCAAGGGGACACACACACAGAGAGAGTGAGAGAAGGAAGAGTGTGTGTGCAGGCGGTGCACGGCTCTCTCACACTCTCACGCGGTCACCACCGCAGCAGCAGCCGCACACGCAACAACAACAAGAAGCAAAAGAGGGGAGGTGGTGTGGGAGGCCGCGGTGCTGCCGTCACTGTCGACAGGCTTCGTCTTATCACCTGTTTTGGCGTTTGTGGTTGGCGCTGTTGTGGATCCTGCACTCTGAGAGACCGTATCGTATTTGTTGGCTGATGCAGCTTCACCATCGGAAGTCGTTTCGGGTGGTGTGGCGCCTTCAGTGGAGAGTCGGCTCGGATGATTGGTGGTTGGAGTGCCTTCTGTACCAGCATCAGACCGCAGGGCCGCGGTACTACTTTCACTGTTACCTTTCTTTGTCGCATCACTCATTTCTTCAACTGTCGTGACTGTTAATCGTGAATTTTCCCCTCCACCCGTTGAAGCGACAGCTTTCATGCCAGTGTCCTTCTTCGCTTGAATACCCCCTACCACAGGCTGTTGAGAATTCTTCGTGCCATTGCCGTTTTTTTTTTTTCTACTCTTACCAGCGCGTCTAGCTATACAATGCCATCTGAGTGCCGAAGAGGTGGTCGAGCAACGACAAAAGTTTCCTGCTATGAAGCAACTGCCATTGAGAGAACTTTCCGAGGCGAAGGTCCTGTTCAATGCCCAGCCGTTGGCGCACAGCCAAGGTGCCTGGACATTCTAGAAGCAGATGGTGCAAGGTTTCCTGCGGGCCAATTGGCGTGCTTGTGGAAGCTGGCTGATCCTGCGGCAGCAGAGATCACCTCCTGGCACTGCTGTTTCGATGCCGTGTGGCGTCTGGGTTGTGTGCGCAGCGACTTCTGTGCTGTGCGGTGCTTCTCCGTGTGGGGAAAACCATGTCACAGAAATCACATTTGAGCTCGGGAAGCGGTGGAGGATGTTCCGGATGAAATGACCGACAGTGACTGACGAGACCCGAGAATCCCGTCAATGTGGAATCACAGTGCGGACATTTCTCCTTCCGACGGCGTGTGAGGGTCCGTCTCCTTACTGGAGAGACGTCTTCCTCCCTCGCCGACGGGGGAACAGTGTCCGTCCCCGGTGCAGTTGGATCGTTGTTAGAGCGCATATATGCAGACTGTTCCGGTGAGATGTTGCAGAATCGGCATTGGTTTGTGCAATCTCTCACGGCCCAGTATAGTCGGCCCCAGAGCTCAGATTCCCCGCACCTTGCCCTTGCGAGGTGAACCAGTTCCTGACGGTGTAGAACTTCCTGAGTGATCAGGTCCTTACCGCTGAGATCTGATGGCCTTGTGCCGCAAAGCAAGTAGCGATGAGTGTCTTGACGAATGGTGCTACGCCACTTGTTGGTGAGCTGGGTAGTAAAACATGTCAGCAGATCCGTATGCCACAAAGGTGCGATTCCTTGCTCCGTGTATTGTCCGGTTGCCATAGTCTGCGTCGCATACTGATCTGCAAGCTCGTTAGCATGTGCTCCACAATGTCCGTAACAAAACTGCAGGTGCACGGACCAGCCAGCACACGTCAGTGTTAAGAGACGCTGCCAGATCTGATCCTCCGTCCAGTCTGTCTGACTGAGCGGGCCCTTGTTTAGAGCCGCTAGAAGAGACTGACTGTCCGTAACCACAAGCAGGGTTTTACGCCTGTGGCGGATAAGAGGGATCATCAGCTTCTCTAGGGCTAGAAGCAGCGCACGGGATTCCGTCCTGTAGCTGCATGGGCGTGCACCGCAGTTTATGCTGGCCTTTTCTATTATCTCCGATGAGTTGAGGGATGAAAGCAGTATTCCAACCCCTGCTGACTTGGGAACGTCGACACCGCCATCCGTTGCGAGTATCCACGAGCGGTGGCTGTGCAGCGCCAAAGCCTCTTCGCTGACTCTGCGCTTTTCCCTTATCAGCTCTTCTTCGTCAGTTATTGAGTGGTCTATCGGAAGTTCCACACCGATGGTGGCCCGGCGAGCGGAGGCCGCAAACCAGGGAGGAATGGAGCTGCGAAAGAACCGCTCTTCGCGTGGTGAGCTCTCGGTGATGCCATAGTCCTTTGCGTATGCGTCTACCAAGGCATATAGCTCGTCCCGAGATAATGGCGAGATGCGGAAACCAGCGCGAGGTGGTGGCTCAGGCGGGGGTCTCCGCATCCAGTCCATCTGACATGCGCGTGTGTTCTCAAATATTGAGAGCCGCGCGCGCAGGCAAAGGACGTGGAGCGGCGGCATATTAGCCTCCAGCAGTGCGGATTCCGGGTCAACATTGCTCGGAACTCCGCTGACAATGCGTGCTAGAGTTGCGTACGTCTTCTGCGTCTCATTCTTCGCTGAATCCGTCGCTACTGCCCATGTGAGCTCGCTGCCATAGCGTAATTTGGAGGCACCGTATCCAATGACGAACGTGCGTAGGTCATGTGGAGATGGTCCCGCCTCTTTGTGCGCTATGCAGCGTAGCTGCGATATCCGTTGCGAAGTGGCAGCGCATTGCTTGGTGGCCGCCACATTTAGCGTCAGTCGTGGATCGAGATCCATGCCGAGAAGCTTCGTAGTTCGCGATGCCCCCATGGTCATGGCTGGGGTTTGACATCCAGCCACTACCAGCGGCCACTTTCCTTTACGATCATAATCTGACTCCGTGTGCGTGGATAGTGTGAACCAAGCAGCTTCACGCTTTGACGGGTTGATGGCCAGGCCATTTTCCTGACTCCACGCATGCAGTTTTTGAAGAACCATGTTGGCAGTGGGAATGGCGTCTTCCCGGGACTGCCCCTTAACAATAATAGAGAGGTCGTCCGCATACATGTCTGCTGTGACACCCGCAAAGCTGTTCAGCAGACTGAGAAGTGGGTGTACGTAAAGGGAGAACAAATACGGTCCCAGCACGGACCCCTGAGGGGCTGCTCGCAGCATGGGACGCCGATCGCTGTGTCTGTGGCCAACTCGTGTCTTCGCGTAGCGACCACATAGAAAGTTTCTAAGCCACCTTCTACAATTCACCCCCGGAATATTAGCCAGCAAGCGACTGAGGACTCGATGATCTATGGAGTCAAAAGCCTTGCTGAAATCAACCAGCACCAGCAGGGTCCGATGGGGTCTGTAGTGGAGTTGATTGCCAATACCGCTCTTCTTGGGAAGGCTCACTTGGAAATAGTGATTTCTATTATGCTCCACTTCGTGTATCAG